TCACAGCAATGTAGTGAGGATTAAATGAGATCGCCTGTTAACTACAAACACCACCGTGCGGACGGGCAGGCGCTGGAGGCGTGGGCTAGCCTCACCACCAGACTCGGAAGCGTGCGATAGAACTTTCTGGGATGACGAAATGTGTCTCCACTGTCCAGTGTGATAGCCACCGGCCACATGTAGCTACTAAGCTTTTGAAATGTGGCTAGTGTGACCAAAGAACTGAATTTTTTATTTTATTTTAATTGATTTAAACCCAAGAGACACATGCGGCTAGTGGTTACAATATCGGGTGTGGCAGACTAAGCGGTTTGAGCCTACCAAGTTGCCTGGCTGACACCAATCTGACTTTGCTCAGATTGAGCCAGTTTGCAGTTCTAGCCATAAATCTGTGGTCATCTGTAAGTTTTCTCCTCCCTCTTCCATCCAGACCCCAAAACATATCCCCTTGAAATTATATTCAGTGATATGAAAATATCTGCATTTGTTAGAGATAAAAACAGCTTTGAAGTGGACAGTTTTCATTTTCAAACCCACGCCTGGGAAGCCTGTCAGAGGCTTGCACTGTCTAGCCCTGGGTACCTGAGCTGGTCAGCATCTCCGGGCAAGAGGCCCCTGACAGCAGGTCGCCAAGCTGAAGGGAGAGAAGTGGGACCCTCAAACCTACCTAAAAACTAGGTCGTGACTTACCATTCCTCATAGTCAAATAACTGAATCCATCACATACTAGGTGTTGTCAGTAATTCTGGATGAATGAGTGAGCGAATGATGGTTACAAAAAAGCTGCAATTTGAATGTTTATTTGTAGCACATCAACGTGACTAATAACAATTTGGAAATAGTCTGCTTAAAATGGGTGTGTAAAAAGCAATCATCATGTCTTGGTGAGTTCAGAATGTGGTGAACATCTGCTTTATGTTTCTGAAGAATGGAACAAGTATTAGGATTCCAAAAGAGAGGATGTAAGTTTTAAAGAGTTTTCCATTTTGATTTACATGAGCACTTTTCATACTGTAATTATTGTTTTTTGGTTTGGTTTCATTTTAGAAGTTTTCATTTGTCTTGCAGTAATGATGCTATAATTTTACTACATCGTGGAATTCTGAGATGGGTGGAAATACTCCAGGGCCTTAATATTGGAAGTTTTCTTAGTGAAATTAGCTTTTATAGTTCATAAATAATTCCTCTGAGTTTTATTTCTATAAATGTTTAGTGAGCTTTATTAAGGCTTACTCAAAGAGGTTCATATAGAATCACATGAATATTTCCTATAAAGCAGCATTCATACAGTGGAGTTAAAGAAAAACTGCTTAGAATTCTGTCCCCAAATGAGAAGCCGCTAAAACTGAATAGCCACGTTAGGTCAGTGGCTCTCAATTGGGTGCGGTTCTGCAACGTCTGCAGACATTTTTGGTGTTCACAGCAGAAGGAAGGAGGCATTTCAGCAGCACCTGGTGCGTAGAGGCCGGGGGTGCCACTAGGCGTCCTGCAGTGCACAGGACAGCCCACCAGCCGCAAAGAATTACCTGACTCAAAACGTCAGTACTGCTGAAGTTGAGAAACCCTGAGTCAGGTGTTAAGAGATGCAGAAAAAATGACTTTCAGTCTTAGGCTGTGAGACATGTTTGGAATTGTTTCCTCCATGCTTTTGTTGAACCAGCCTGAAAGAGTTACCCGGCGTTCCCTCGGGCTTTGCCTTGGTGACAGCCTTTTGGGCAGAATCTTCAGGAAGTGGACAAAGTGTGTGTTCAAGGATATCTCTCTCAGATTAAAGCAGGTCCTGTTTTCTGAATAAAAGACTGTGAAGTCACACTGTAGAGTTCGAACATCTCACTTTTAGAGAGTGGTGTCTTGAGGGACATAGCCAAAATACGAATTGTCTTCTTTTAAAAATTTCCTTTAAGACAGTCATATTTATAAGCATGTAGGTGGTGAAGTGCTCCAGAAGCTTAGTGCTGAGGTGCTGTCAGCTGCCGAGAATGCAGATAATCAGTCCATCTGTGACCTGGTGTTCAAAAGGTCACAGGCAAGCTTGAGAAACTGGGCGACCTACGGGGTGACCTACGAACTAAGCCGTGGTGCCCTTAAAAATCTTTGTTTTGACAGTGTAATAGAAATTAAACCATTACTCATTTTTATCTTTTAACTAAGATAACTTTATGTCTATAGGTACATATATAATGTACATGTGCAGGTATTTAATACATTTGTGAAAATTACAAGTAGAATCTCTGTAAAAAGTAAAATAATTTCTGGCATTCAAGCCAAGTTTCTTAATCTGTTTTTCATTGTTCCCTCACATCTAAGGAGACTTTAGAAATCTCTTCCCGATTGCTCCTTCCCCAATGAAATTTTGGTATCATACCATACGCTGTTTATCTGATTCTGCATGTATATCTCTGCTTTATACATTAAAAAATAATACTTCCTCACCCACAAGAACCATTTTTCGCCCCAGGTGATGGTATGGCTTGCTGAGAATGCATGCATTATTAGGGGAAGCACCTGTTGTGATCCCATGGAATTCCTGTATTATATTGTATCACTTTACAAAGAGCAAAACCTTTCTCTCCCATGTTTCCTGTTTTTTTGGATAGCCTCCTGAAGGGACTGGGTACCACTGTTGCTGTCTGCTGCATACCTCACTGCAAAGCAGCCCTGGTCCTTCACCTGGAAATGCGTCTAGTTGCTCTCTTCAGGCCCATTGGCATCCAGAAAGGGTCACAGATAACAGTCAAGTCGTGTAGAATTTAACCTGTATTAAGCAAGGCCACTGATTTTTTTAGACTATTTTTAGAACACTTTTAGATTCACAGCAAAATTGAAAGTACAGAGACTTCCCGTAGACCTCCTCCCTCCACTCATGCAGCACCTCCCCAGTATCAACACCCCTTACCTGAGGGGACATTTGTTACAACTGACGACTCTACAGGGGCACATCCTATCACCCGGAGTCCACCCAAGGGTCATTCTTGGTGTTGTCCAGCCTATGAGTTTGGACAAACATATAATGACACAAATGCATCATTATAGAATCATACAGTGTTTTCACTGCCCTTAAAATCCTCTGTGGGTTCTGCCTGTCACACACCCCACCTCCATCAAGCCCCTGGCAACCACTGGTCGTCTTACTAGCCCCATAGTTTCGCCTCTTCCAGAGTGTCATATCCTTGCAATCACACGGCATGTTCTTTGCGGACTGCCTCCTTTCACTTGGTAATATGTATTTAAGGTTTCTCCATGTCTTTTCGTAACTTGATAGATCATATCTTTGAAATAATACTCTAGATGTACCAAGATGTATTCTAGATGTGAAACTGTTTAGATGTACCACAGCTTATCCACTCACCTACTGAAGGACATTTTCGTTGCTTCCAGGTTTGGGCAGTTATGAATAAAGCTGCTGCTATAAAAATCTGTGCGCAAGTTTTTGTGTGGGCATAGGTTTTCAGCTCTTTTGGGCAAATATGAGAGTGTAACTGCTGGATCATATGGTAAAAGTATGTGTTTTTAAGAAACTACTAAACTGCATTCCAAAATGCTTTGCTATTTTGTGTTCTCACCAGCAATTAGTGAGAATTCCTGTTGCTCCACAGCCTCACGAGTAGTTGGTATTGTCAGTGTTCCAGATATTGGCCATTCTGCTAGGTGTATATAGTAGACTGATTTTTTTAAGTAGTATTTTTATCAAGATAAAATTCACTTACTTAAAATTCACCCTTATGGTAGCTGGGGGTGACTGCCCCTACCATGATGAGCATTTACTAATGTATATAATTATTGAGTCACTATGTTACAGATCTGAAACCAATGTAATATTGTATATCAACTGTACTCCAGTAAAAAAAATCATAAGCTAAAAACATATTCACCCTTACAAAGTACACGCTGAGTGGTTTCCCTGTGTTCATGGGGCTGTGCAGCCATTGCTTTAGAGCATTCTCATCACCTCGAAAAAAACTGGTCAAAATTTAAAACATCTGTGCTTCAAAGAACACCATGAAGAAAGTGAAAAGATAATCCAAGGATAGGAGAAAATATCTGCAAATCATGTATCTAGTCAGGGACCTTTATCTAGAACATATTAATACTAAAAGACAAAACCTGAACCTTTATCTAGAACATATTAACTAAATACTAAAAGACAAAACCTAAGTCAAAAACGGCAAAGAATATAAGTAGACATGTCTCCAGAGAAAATATGCAAATGGTCAAAAAGCACTTGAAAACATGCCGAACACCATGAGCCATCAGGGAAATACGAGTCAAAGCCACAAAGAGATGCCACTTCACACCCAGGATGGTGGCTGTCATACAAAAGACAGTGACAGGTGTTGAGGATGCAGAGAAATTGGAATCCTCACATGCCGCTTATAGGATTGTAAAATGGTGCAGTCACATTGAAAAACAGTTTGACAGTTTCTCAAAAAGTTAAACATAGTAACTACATGATCCAGCAGTTCCACTCCCAGGAATATACCTGAAAGAAACAGAAGTGAATGCATATGTCCACTGTAACTCATACACAGGGACCCTTTTGGGGTTGACAGAAACATTCTAAAATTAGATTGTGGTGATGGTTACACAACTCTGTGAATATACTAAAAATCATTGAATTGTACACTTTAGGTGGGTGGTGTACAATATGTGAATTGTATCCCATGTTTTTGTAGCTCTCACTTCAGGTATCTCTCTCTCTCTTTACTTGTTCCAAGACGTCTGTGTATACCTTTCAAGCTATTTCCTTCTAATCCATAATCTTTTCTTACAAAAAATTGTGATGTTTAGCCTATTCTCGCATGTAGAATATGTTTAAAGTGTTTGCCGTCTCCAGGTTCTGGACCAGCTGCTCCCCTCCAGAGTACAGCATACACATCCGAGCCCGGCACAGAGTGGGCACACGTTGCTCAGTGAAAACTGCTGAATGGAGGAATGCATTTTGTTTTGTACACGTGATGCCGGTCCCACACATCACTGACACGCTGTGTTCTCTTTTGCAGGCCATCGGCTGTTCTCTGAACTGTGGTTGCCAGAGTTTCAAACCAGGGAAAATAAACCACCGTCAGTGTGAGCAGTGCAGACACGGATGGGTAGCCCACGGTAACTTCATTTTTCTCCCTCTCTTGGCCTGTAGTGTTCCGTGTAAGTCACTTAGTTACTCAGGAACAGATTTAATGGAATGACAGCTAACGTTTGTAAGTCAGTACGGTGTGTCAGCCAACAGGATAATAGCCTTTTCTGTGTTATCTCTCGGAATCTTAACAACTCTGTATGACAAGTACGTTTTTAGTCCCATTCTGGAGATGTAGAAACTGCCGTTTCATTGCTGTCTTTCTGCAATTATACAAATGTTTTGTGCTGTACAGTGTGGTGGCCTCTAGCCCAGGGTTGCCAGATAAAATAGAATGCTCAGTTAAATTTGAATTCAGATAAACAGCAAATAATTTTTTAGCCTAAGTGTGTCCCAGTGTATTTTTTAGCATAAGTATATCCCCCTTATACATTGTTTATCTAAAATTTATATTCAGATTTAATTGGGCATCCTGTATTTATTTGCTAAGCTAGCCACGTGTGGCTTCAGAGTACTAGAAATGTGACTATTGTAACTGAAGAACTGAATTTCTAATTTTGTTTCCTGTTAATTAATTTGCTATTTAAATTAATTACAGCCATGCGTGGCTGGTGACTTGCATTGAACATCATAGATTTTGGTGGTTTAATTTGGCAGGCTAGGGCTCAAAAACCCATCTGTTGGGTTTACAAGCCCAGGTTTTTCCCCACCAGACCCTGTGCTCCCCGATTTCCCCACCCCCCTCATGTATGTGCCTGTCACCTTTGTTTTTATCCCCTTTCCTTGCATCTTCCCTACTTGCAGCCACTTTACTCCACAGCAATGCCACAGGCAGGATAGGAGAGAAGAGTCCCAGGCCAGTCCATTGTGTTTTAGAAGTTCCTGTGCATAACTTGGAGCCTGAGAGCTATTAAGATTTGTTAGTCATTTGCATAGTCGTGTTTTCGCATTGGAACAGATAACTGAGTTAGCTCCAGCCTACTTTCTGTGCAGTGTTTCTCTCAAAGAAGAACCTTTAAAACGTTACTCCTTCAATTTAATTTTTCAGCTCTAAGTAAGCTGAGGATCCCCACCGTGTGTCCCACAAGCCAGGTGGAGATTGTCCAGTCCAGTGTGGTGTTTGATATCAGCAGCCTCATGCTCTACGGGACCCAGGCCATCCCTGTTCGCCTGAAAATCCTACTGGACCGGCTCTTCAGTGTGTTAAAGCAAGATGAGGTCCTCCGGATACTCCATGCCTTGGACTGGACCCTCCAGGATTACATCCGTGGATACGTGTTACAGGTGTGGTGGCCATGGCCGCTGTTCTCCTAGAACGTCTTCTCACATCTTTGTGCACGTGGCCTACAGAATCTAGTTGTCGACCAGTGTTACGGCCATTGCTGGCCATCATTCCCTTTACTCTTTTTTCTGATGCTTTAATCCCTACCTCATGTCCTAGAAGGAATGCAGTGCTTCACTCAAGCCATCTGTGAAACCTCAGGACACGGGGGCATCACACAGCCTCTGATCTGGATCCCACAACACATCAGCCCCACCGTGGATGCCGCCTTCCCCTCATTACCGCAGCTGCCTGCCGACCGAGATGCTGTCTGTGTCAGAGTTTGCTGAGGGCCTGGGTGGGGAGAAAGGAACTCACATTGCAGAGCCACACAGCAAACAGCTAGTCTCCTGCCGAGCCTTCCCAGCCTTTACAGCGCTCTGCCTCCCCGCTGCTGGCGTTTCTTCCTGGGCCCCATCACCTTGGGGTATTTCCGTGTTCTCACTCTAGCTGCCTCCCCTGCCCCGCCCCTCACCCACTCCCTTCTGGCCTCCCCGCATTTTCTCTTCATTCTCCTTTGTTCCAATGCTTTCATCCCTTCCTGCCGTTCCTTACTTTACAGAGCAGTTTCACCTCTTTCGAGACCTTGCTGTGGGGTAAGCCTCGTGTTTCATAGCCAAACAGGCTGTCAAGGTGGTGTTGCAAGCAGAGAACATATTTCCTGGTATGAATTATATCATTGCTTCGACATCTGAAACAGCTACAGCATCTTTTTTCCTGCCGCTACCCCATAAAATGTCAGCTAACTTTGGTAAAAATTCCAATGAAATGGGGGAATGAATATATTACTAAGACTGACTTTGGTCTTATTCAGGTCGGCACATCATTAAAACAAACACTAATAGCCGCTTATTGACCTAGGCCCTCTTCCAGTAACCTCATGCATGAGGTAGGTAAATTATCCCCATTTTCCACTTGAAAAACCAGAGGCTTCTAAATCTTGCAGAGGTCACTCAACACACATGTGGGAGATCCACAATTTGAACCCACTTCTTTCTGACTCTAAAGACCATCATCACCTTCTGGAAACACATTTGTTCACCTTGAATGCAGGGCCCCCAGCAGGCTAGAAACCACCTTTTATGTAGAGTACTATTATGATCTTACATTATGACGTAGATCAATATTTAATGACCCTAATATTCTTGCTTTCTAGTGTTAGGATTAAAAATATGGAATCAATTACCTTGAACCTCTAGCACATCAAAAATTTATGTTGTTACATTCCTCCTCATCTTCAAAACTCTTATATGCACTGTGAAAAATCTCAGTAGGCCATCAAATACATGTTCTGTGATAAAATATTTATTATAGTTTTGGGAAAAGTTAGGCCTAGCTAGAGTTTGAAATATCTCCAACACTCCAGCATAATTACAGCTCTGCTTTGTGAACATGGGCAATAGATCAATATAGGTTCATTTGTTTTCTGATGTCCGTTGCTTGGGAAGATTATTAAACTTGTTGACAATAAATACTTGAGCTATATCTAGGTCTGCTTGCTCCATCTTTAGATGAAGCTACTATTGTTCAAATGATTCAGATTTTATTTCAGTGGGGGAAAATTATTATGCCTAATGCAAGACAACAAGTGGTTTGAAATAAGATGAAAAAATTACCAATTTCGCATAGACTTGAGTAATATAATTTTATTTCCCCCTTTTGGACTACTACTTAAGCATTTGTGCAGTTTATTTTCTGTACAGAGTTCCTGGCCGAGACGAGTGATGTGAGTGGGAGCTGAGCTCAGCAAGCACCGTGCCCACCCAGAGGGGTTGTCATTTCCTATATGTACAAAGTGTGCCCTGGAGGGTCAGCGGGGGCCCTGACCACATGGCTCCATGCTTAGAGAAAAATGGAAGGAGCAGTAAAGTAATTGCACTTCCAAATTCTGGTTTGCATTTAGGATGCGTCCGGAAAGGTGTTGGATCACTGGAGCATCATGACCAGTGAGGAAGAGGTGGCCACCTTGCAGCAGTTCCTTCGTTTCGGAGAGACCAAGTCCATCGTTGAGCTCATGGCGACTCAAGAGAAGGAAGAGCGGTCCATCATCGTGCCCCCTTCCACAGCAAGCGTGGACATCAGGGCTTTCATCGAGGGCTGCAGCCACAGGAGCCCCGGCCGCCCCACTCCCACGGACAAGGCAAACCCGAGCAGCGCACATTCCTTCGAGAGCCTCATAAACAACATGACTTTCATGCTGCCTTTCCAGTTCCTCAACCCTGTGCCTCCCGCACTGCTGGGGTCACTGCCCGAACAGTACGTGCTGGAACAGGGTCAGGAGCAAAGCCGGGACCCCGAACAGGAAACCCACGGACCCTTCCCCAGCAGCAGCTTCATCGCTTCCAGTTCCACACCATTTCAGACTGAGAAAGATCCGTGTCTGAACTGTCCAGATACTGTTCCAAAAAGGGAAGACGGCACCTATTTAAGTGACTCCAGCTCATACAACATTGTCACCAAGCTTGAAAGGACACAGTTGTCCCCTGAGGCCAAAGTGAGGTCCGAAAGGAACGGCCTGGCCACGAAGAAGGGCCGGGTGTTCTGCACCGCGTGCGAGAAGACCTTCTATGACAAAGGCACCCTCAAGATCCACTACAATGCCGTGCACCTGAAGATCAAGCACAGGTGCACTGTCGAGGGCTGCAACATGGTGTTCAGCTCCCTGCGGAGCCGGAACCGCCACAGCGCCAACCCCAACCCGCGGCTGCACATGCCCATGAACAGGAACAACCGGGACAGGGATCTGCGCAACAGCCTGGGCCTGGCTGCCTCCGAGAACTACAAGCACCCGGGTTTCGTGGCGACTCCCCCGGACTGCAGGCCCCTCCCCGGCTACCCCAGGTCGGGGGAGGGGTCCAGGGGCCAGCCAGCCTTCCCGAGCATAGGGCAAAACGGCGTGCTTTTCCCCAACCTGAAGACAGTCCAGCCGGTCCTTCCTTTCTGTAACAGCCCAGCCACCCCCGCTGAGCTGGCAAACACCCCTGGCGTGCTGCCCTCCCTGCCTCTGTTGTCCTCTTCAGTCCCAGAACAGCTGGTTTCAAACCAAGTGCCATTTGATGCCCTTCCCAAGAAGAAGTCCCGGAAGTCCAGTATGCCTATCAAAATAGAGAAGGAAGCTGTGGAAATAGCGAATGAGAAGAGGCACACTTTCAGCTCCGATGAAGACAGGCCCCTGCAGGTGGTCAGTGAAGATGAGCCAGAGGCCTGCAGTCCTGCGCCGGGCAGAGCCCCTGAGGAGCAGCACGCCCAGGCAGGACGCCTATGGAGGCCTCTCCCTGGAGGAGAGAGGCCCTGCCGTCCAGGGCCAGTGGCTGAGTCCAGTGGCGCCTTCAGCCGAGCCCCTGAGCAGGCCACGCACCACGTGGAGAGGGAGGCCGAGCAGAAGCCTGTGCTGGCCACGGTGCCCAGGGAGGTGGAGGCTGGTGGCCGCGAGCCCCCCCTCACTCCCGGGATGGAGACCTGCGTCCCTTTCCCTGACTACGTCAAACTGCAGCGGCACCTGCTGGCCGGGGGGCTCCTCAGCGCTTTGTCCGGCAGAGGGATGGCTTTTCCTTGTTTCGAAGATTCTAAAGAACTGGTCCAGCACATGGGTCAGCACACATTAGCGAGGCCAAAGGAGGAAGACCGCTTCCAGTGTGACATCTGCAAGAAGACCTTTAAAAACGCCTGCGGTGTGAAAACACATCACAGGAGCATGCATGCCAAAGAAACGCACGTGTGCACCGTAGAGGGCTGTCAGGCCGCCTTCCCGTCCCGGAGGGGCAGAGACAGGTGAGATGCCTGCTGGCGACCGTTCCTTCTAGGGCAGCAGTTCTCAGGCTTGAGCATGCATTGCATCAGCTGGAGGGCTGTCAGAACGTCAGAGCCACACCCCCAGCATTTCTGCTTCTGTGGGTCAGGGGTAAGGCCTGAGATGCTGCACTTCTGAGTTCCCCAGTGACACCAGTGTTGCTGTTACAGTGTAACACTGTTACACCAGTGTTACCGGAGTTTGGAAACAGTGTTGTGTAGATGCCCATTCCTGAATTTTCAGTTCCAAAATCTAAACTCATTTGGCCACAAAACCTGACTTGAAATGATGTGAGGCTATTTATAATCTTTTTTTAATCTTTTGTGTGGATTTTTAAATGTATATTCAGTACAGAAATCCTGATTGATTTATTTTGGGGAGGTCAACAAAATAGTACAGTATATGCATCATTCGCCTTCCTAAGGTCTGAGAAATCCTAAATTCAGAAACACATCTGGCCCAAAGGGTTCGAGATAAGGAGTCATGAACTAGAGCTCACCTTAGAGGAAGGAGAGGGGGCCTTGTCAGTTACCACGGTAGCTTCCCAGACTTGACCGCTTTCATTTCATAGTATGAAGTCCATCAGATGAAACATTTTCTCTGTTAACCAGCCCAACTTGAAAGGGAGAATACTCCTTGCTTGGAGATCCTTAAAATATTAAGACGTCAAAGAGTAAAGGCACTTAATTAGCAGATTATTTTAGGGTCCGTGATGTTTGTTGAAAGATGAGAAGTCTGCCATTGCTGGGTTTTCATGATGAGTGTCACAGAGCGCCCGGGCAGAGAGTGAATGTCCTCCCTGCGGAGCGCAGTGCCGGCTGCTTGTGCTTTTTTTCAGTGGACTGGCGTCACATGACCACTCTTGAGGTCGCTTTCCTCCCCAGCCTATAAAGGGAAGAGCAAGCATACTGAAAGGCGACCTTAGGGGGCTTTCGGGAGAGGACTGGCCCTTTGAAGACATTGTAACAAACACTCAGTGGTCCCCAGAATATTAAAAGGTTACATTTGCTCAAATGCTTGACTTGAACCAGTTCAACACCACCACTACCTCAACCCAAATTACAACGCCTATCTTATTAAGGGGGTGAAAATGTCCAGGCTCCCACACACATTCCTGCACAGGGCTCCTAAGAAGACACTCATTGTCTTGAGCAAAGAGCATAGAGCATGGCAATTAGTTAAAATTCTTGCTTCTGTTACTGGGATGTTGGACTAAACTACCAGGATTCCCTCATTAGTGAAACAGCCCTTCTCCTTCACCCTCCAAGTGGAGTGCTTGTTCATGAATAAGCTGTTTTCATAACGGAGAGAGAGTCCTGTCAGTCAGATCATCCTTGAGATTTATGACATTGTTCTGGCCTCCAGTGTCTACTGAATTAGAAGGCATACTGAATGTAGGATACAATTTCATCGTACCCTTATTTTTTCATATATTTAATTTTCTCTTATTTTTTGGACCTATTCGCAGATACATGTCTCCTCCCCCACCACAGAAAATCATCTTGTATTCAAAATTTAAAGTATTATTCTTGTAGTCTAGAACTTGGAATGCATTTAACCTAGAATCTGTGATTTAAATGACACCATTTAAATAGGGCTTTGTGGACAGGCTCAGGTGCACCACCATTTCTCTGAGTCAGAGAACCGCGTTGCCATGAGGATAACTTACTTCCCCTCTTCAAGCCACGGCTACTGCCAACAGCAGTTACTGGGGCCCATCAAGAAGGGCGGGGACAGCACCCTGGATGCCCAGTTGGCCGACAGGTATTCACGACCCTCTGTGTTAAGTGCCGTGAGCGCGGGGTCACTGCCCGCAAAGGTCAGTGGGAGAGACAGACCAGTAAATGGGTAATTGCTGCGGAGTAATAGGGAAATGCAGGCTGCTTGGGGCAAATGGGAGGGTGCCCAGCCAGGCTCTGAGAAGTTAGGGAGGGCTTCCTGGAAGAAGGGGTAGGACTAAACCAGGTTCTCTAACATGTTGGTCCCATACTCTCTTTACAAATTCTTAAAACCTCGGGACCCTCAAGAGCTTTCGTCTGTTTGGGTTTATGTCTATCAATATTTACTGTATTAGAAATTAAAACTGAAAAAATTAATATTTATTCCATAAAATAATACATTATTTAATGGTAATATAACATAATGAACAATAACTACATTTCTGAAACAAACAGTGAGAAGCAAGGCTTTGTTTTACATTTTTGCCAATCTCTTTAATGTCTGGCTTACAGCTAGATTCTCAGATCAGCTTCTGCATTCAACCTGTTGCAATATCACGTGACATGTGACCTCTGGAAAACTCCATGGTATACTCCTGAGAGAATGAGCATTAAAAAGGCAAATGATCTCTTCGTAGCACTATGAGATGAGTTTTGATTTCAGAGACCCTTGCAAAAGGATCTCAGGGTATGAGGCGCCACCAGACCACAATTTCAAAACCACTGATTTCAACTAATTTAACTAGTGAGAAACCAGGGGGAATAGTTGAAGGGGGAGGCAAGGGGTTGCAGGGAAGAAATACAGACATGGGCAGCAGGCACAACATAGCAAAGGCCTGGAAGCAGAAAGCCTGCCACGTGGGCCAGAGGGCTTTTGCAGTTGTTGTAGCCGGTGGTTTTAGGGGACATGGCACTTCAGGAAATGCATCTAACCCTCCAAGGCCTAAGGAGAAGGTGAGAGGAGCCCACACGTTAGTCCTCAGTAGTCACGGCATCCTCAGGACCGAGCCCAGGGCCCGGAGCTTCGCCTTGTTGCAAGCAGGGACTTGACGGTATGAGTTTCCAGTCAATGCGTTTGGCTTTTTCTCCAAACCACTTGGGTGCACCGGAACCTCCTTGCCCATCGAGTGTCTGGTTTTCTGCCAGCGCATACCTGCCCCTTCAGCCCAGAATGCCGACATAATCACAGGGCAGAACTGGAGTCGAGAAGAGCTACTTGCAAAGTGGGTGTTCTGGGAGTATGATTCTGAGTACATCCAAAGTGTGTAAAGGGATAGAAAAGACCAATTGAATAGCAAATTGTATACATTTTATAAATACACAAACCTCCTCCCCTCCTCATTCCCACCATGTCTTAGGAGGTTTAGAAGAGAAAATTCCATTCTTAGTTATTTTGGTGAAGGTGTTTTTCCCAATTTGACCCTGGTATGCATTGTGATCTGTAGTGTGGGAGTTGTTTTCCCTGTTTGGAATTATTCTGTCACCTTTAAGACTGATCCCTTGGTAAGAGCTGTTTTTCCTAGTCAGAAGTTAGCAGGAGCTCTCTGAGCAAGGCCGCCACTGATTGACAAGTTCCCTCCAGATGATACCGTATGAGTGAAAGGCATGTGTCACAGTGGATACTCATTATCTGCCCTTCAGGGGTAACCACTGGGTAGAAGGTGGGTGGTTGCTTATAGTGCTGGGTTTGCAGACCTCCTGCCTGGTATATGGTGAAACGTCGCGCATATGCACTGAACTCAGCGTGCACTCTCCCGCTTGCACTCTCACGCTTCCTAGCCAATCAGATTCTTACACCTGTAGAACTTCTGTAGTGACGTGCATGCAGATGCTCCAGACCCTGATGTGAACCACAGAGGAGATTTTAAATTTTCTAGTAGCCACATTAAAAAAGTAAAAAGAAACAGCAGGAGTAAGTTTTAATGTATTTTATTTCATTCAGTCTATCCGAAATAGTATCATTTCAGTCCACGACACAGCCATGCTTCAGGTGCTCAGTAGCCACGTTGAGTGGCTGTCGTGTTGGACAGCGCGCCTCTAGAAGTTAGTATTTCCTGTTTCCATTGAGATAAAGCCCCTTGCTTAGCTCCTTATTGTTTGTGACCAGTGTTCTCCTGGGATCTGCTGGTTCCAGAGTCGCAGTTGAAATGACCTAATCGAAGTAGTCTAGCCATTCTCTGTAGATGAGGGATGGGAAGTTACACGTCCCTTGGATGATGGAAATAAAGAGAACTTACCTGTGCCATTTCCAGACTGTTGGCTTTACTGCTAACTCCTGACAGGTGGTGACCAGCAGTGGGCCAGTGTCCACGGGAGCTCTGACGCCCCACGCCCCTCACCATTGCTGTTCTGGTGCCATAGGTCTGTTTCTGGTATCCACCTAGTGTTTCCACCCAGAAGGATGACTGTTTTTAAAACAACAGCCCGGCCGATGACTAACCATGTTTTCTCTCTTCCAGACACAGTTCGAACCTAACTGTCCACCAGAAAGTGTGGACCCAGGAAGTGTTCGAGAGCAGTGCAGACCATTTCCGGGCCACTTACCTTCTGAAGGACGCGGCGCAGGGGGCCTGCCCAGATGCGGATTTCACACAGCAAGCCTCCCCGACGTCGGTCATCCTCAAGGGAACCAGTCGGACGGGCAGTCTGGTTTACCCAGTCGCCCAAGTCCACAGCGCCGGCCCGCAGAGCTATAGCTCTGGGCCACCAAGTGAGGGCACCATCCTGGACCTGAGTGCTACCTCGAGCATGAAGTCAGAGAGCAGCAGCCATTCCTCCTGGGACTCTGACGGGGCCAGCGAGGAGGGCACTGTGCTCATGGAGGACAGTGACGGGAACTGCGACGGGCCGAGCCTTGTCCCCGGGGAACATGAGTACCCCATCTGCGTCCTGGTGGAGAAGGCCGAACAGAGCCTTACCAGCCTGCCTTCTGGGCCGCCCATGACGTGTCACCTCTGCCGAAAGATGTACAGTAATAAAGGGACCTTCAGGGCTCACTACAAAACTGTGCACCTCCGCCAGCTCCACAAATGCAAAGTTCCGGGCTGCAACACCATGTTCTCCTCTGTTCGCAGTCGAAATAGACACAGCCAGAATCCCAACCTGCACAAAAGCCTGACCGTGCCTCCAGGGCACCTCCAGTAACAACAGTGGGTCATGTGTGTTGGGACCAGCACCTGTCATAATTCAGGAATAAGGTCGTCCAAAAATTGTTTCTAACTTGTTTATACCATTTGGGGCAAGCCAGGCAAAAAGTATTTGAGTTGATTTTATAGTCTTCTGCCGCAGGGTGAGCAAAGGGCAAGCGTTGTGGGAAGCTGACATGGGGCAGCCTTTCCTATTGTTTTTCTTAGCCCATGAGGTTTTCCCTAACCTAATGAAAATTTGCAGAAACACAGTTTTCCCACATTTGTTTACACATTCCCTGGGAGAACTCCAGGTCTGCAGATTGATTGGCCGCCGGGGCCGGACCTCGGGGGTGCTTTGAAGGGAGGCCTGCTGCATTGTCAGGGAGTGTCCTGGGAGGCAGACTGCCTGCCGTGGGTGAGAAGCGGGTCCCACAGATCACGATTTTCAGTTCCTGCTTTACTGAGTCTGAAGTCCAGACTTGAGTTGCGGAAAATGGCTTTTTGAGACTATCCTTCCACTTGGAGTAGAGAATGGCTTTTATTCTTTTTTTCCCCTAAAGGTCTCATGTGTTAGTCCAGGGAGTTCTCAGAGGAAGCAGGTTGGACTTAACACATAGGAACATGGATGTTTCCAAGGATGTTAGTTCTCACTCTGTCATGTGTTCAAGAAGCTAGAGGGGAGCTAGTTCATGCACTTAAAAATAGTGGTCTTCAACTTAATTTAACTTAAGTTGATAATATTTAATTTGTGTTTATGTTACGTATTTGGGGTAAGCGCAGGCATGTCACAGTGTGACCTCTGGGTCTCTGGCTGAAAGCAGAACCCGTGACAACTTAAACAGCAGAATGCGCCCGTTCTCATTCGGTGAGCTTTGGAGTCTGTTCATTTCGGCCGCCTGGGGAATGGATGAAGCATGATTCTGGCAGGACCGTTTGTATATATTCAGCCAAAGCATTTAGAGAATGTGGTTCTGATGGTTGGTATGCATTTCTCAGAATCACCGGACCCCTCAGTCTTCACCCTTTTATAGATGTGTAAGATGAGGAGGGACTTTGAATGTACATGGTAGACAGGAGAGTAGGACGTCACCGCCATCCCGTACGTCTTGATCCTTAACTCACTCTCAGATCTGTCCCACACCGTTGCACACATTTGCTGTTATAGAAGTTCAGTCAGTCCCGGGAAAGGAGGCGTGTCTTGATATTGGCGCTGCAGCGCCCTGAGAGCCCAGGGCGGGGAAAAAGAGGTTGATTTCTTGTTGAGACTGCAGGTTAGCCATCTTTTTATGGTTGATTTAGGTAATTTAAAAAATCTTTCGAGAATTGGGTGTGTAGGAGAAATAATTCTCTGGCCTAAAGGTGAAAAAAGCGAATGACCTGTTACCAATCATTTCAACATTTAAAATAAATAAATAAATGTGACAACTTAAAATGTGTCTCTGCTTCAAATGAGCTGCATCTTTCAACTCTCTTGTTTCCCAGCTGTTTGATATTCCTGTTTCCCCAAAGTGGAAAAATTTGATTTAATAAAAATATGTGGCATGTTTTTTTGTTTAAAAAGGCAAACATTTGTAAAACTGGTGTTGTCATATGGGATGCCTGTTGAGTGCACGTGGCCATGTGTGCACACATGTGCACACACACACGTGCAAAGAGTTTCACGGATTCAAAAGCTTCCTCCAAACAGCAGTTGCAGCAGTTCACAAGTCCAAAGAAATGAAGTGGTTACTTCTCTGAGGGGGAAGAGCTGAGTATCAACTCATCAATGAGAATACAAAATAAAGTGATTTTTTTTAACACTGCTATCAGAGTCTCAGAGCCAGTGCTGAGCAGGATGCAAGGACAGATTTAAGCCTCTTCTTTCTTTGTGAAGTACAGTTTTTTAAAAGTAAGTTTTCATAGCTTATCTTTTTACTTCTCCTCTTTTTCCTGCCCACCTGACATGTAGAAAAAACTGGGCCCCCTGTGCACCCAGCACCCCCCGGGCCACGTCACTGCTGGGCTTCGTATTTCACTGGGAGGAAACAAGTCGGGGGAGCTTCCGGTCCATCTGCGCTCCTGCCTGGATGCCCGCTGCAGCCCCCTCAGGTCCACTCTCCGCCCTAGGACAGCCAGAGGGCCCCTGGGGCAGATCGGATCTTGCAGTGCCCCGGCGTGCAACCCCCCAGTGGCTTCCCTTGACAGCGTAACCCAAGACCCTGCGGAGGCCACAGCCTCCCACCCTGCTGCCCCGCCACCCTCTGGTCCCACAGGTCTCTCATTGTGACTTTGTCAACTTCTCTCCCTTCCCTCCCAGGCGCTCTTCCAAACCTCCACTTGGCGAGACCCCACCACATGGACTCATCACATTCACAGTGGCCAACCTCATTTCCTGCTGTCAGAGAACTGGGTGGGGACCCCTCCCTGCTCCCCAGGCCCGCCCCTGCCCTATCAGTTCGTATTCACACCCATTCCTCACCAGGACGCATCTGCCTGGACCTCCTGGGAATCTACCTCGTGCCTGGTGGCTGGTCACAGAGCTGCAGACCTCTGTGGGAAGGTGACCGGGTGCCCTGCACTCCCACCACCCATCTGCTGCCACACCCGGATCCCCGTGGTCTCCTTAAGCTCAACGCCTCTCATGGGGGATCCAAGCTTCCCCAGCTCGGCCTTCCTGATTGTATCCACTTGTGCCTGTGGGTGGCTGTGTTCGCCTGGGTCCACCAGGAAGCAGGTCCCCGGAGGACTAACTGTGTGTGGGTTTTAGGAGACACTCCGAGGGGAAGTGGGAAGTGGGAGCTGGAAAAGGCTGAGGGAGCCGATGGGCACAGGGTGTCTGACCCCAAGTGAGGGAGAGAAGTGGGGAGGGGTGGGTGGAAGTGCCCGAGGTGGCTGTGTGGCCCGACAGGTGCAGCAGGGCAGCTGGGTGGGGGGTCTCTGGGTGGAGGCCAACCGTTGGAGCGTCCCCCACCCCCAGGAATGGCTTCCTTGGGAATTGGATCCCTGCCACCCCCAGTCATCAGCTGCCGGCAGCCTGGGGGAAGCGCGGCCTCTGCAAACGCAGCCCTGCATGCGGAGCACAGTGGCTGGGGCCCGTGTCCAGATGAGCCTTCCTAGAGCCCCCGTCCTGTCCAGGTGGGTCCATACCGCTGTTTTTCTCTGGACTAAAAGCATCTCTCCCATCCTTCCCACCTCAAGGATGTCGCCCAGCGCGGTCCCCCCGCCATCTTTGTCAGACCCGTCCTTTCCACCAGTTGCATCTCTCGAGCCTGTAGCATTTGAAAATCTCTCATCTTTCAGGTCAGAGGAAAGAAGCTAGCTCTCTCCACCCCAGTCCGTCCAGCGACCCCTCCTCGCCTCTGCCTGCACAGCCGCCCTCAGACGTGGGTGCTGTCTCCCCTGACAGCTGCACCCTTGTTTCTCCCCTGCCTGAGTGGGGCCCACCCTCTCCAAGGTCCGGAGACGCCCAGCCGGACACACCGAGGGGCAGCCGGTTCCTCGCTGTGCCCTGGCCCCTCCCTGGCCGCACGGTCCTGTTCTCTGGGGTGTCTCTTCCATCCCTGCGACCTGCTGGCCAGGACGAGGCCCCATAAGTACCTGCAGCGGGGCCCCCAGAGCCGCCCTCTTGACCCGCGAACCCCCGGTGGAGATCACGGAATAACCCGTGTGCCCCTCCGGCCCAGCTGGCCCTACACTCGGTTTGTCACGCCCCGCCAGACGCTTCCTCCCGTTTCCTGGGGCTCGGGGGCGCCTCGCCGGGCCACCCGAACTAAAACCCGGGGAAGGGCCACTTCGGCCGACTGGCCTCGGCGCCTCCACGCGCTCACCGGGCGACCTTGGCCGAGGGTGACCCCCTCTGGGCCTCAGTCTCCGCATCCGTTTAGTGAGGATAAAAGCAGGCTCTGCGTGGGTGGGTCACAGTGAGGCTCCAGGGACAGGTGCGTGTAAGGCGCTTAGCACGGCGCTGGGCCCACGCACACACCCCCGACGGGCGGCGGCAGGAGCAGCGCCTCCCCACCGCCCCGCAGCCTGTCCCGGCCTCGCCCCTTGCCTCCCTCCCGCCCAGCAGCGGCCGTCAGTCACCAAGTCCCAGCAAAACTCGCCCCCCAGTCCTTCCCCTCTTCTCAGGCTCATGGATGTCAGAGCACAAGGCTGTCTTCTTCTTCCTCCTGCTTTTATTTCTCCCTCAAGTCCATCCTTTGGCCTCCAGCTGTCACTCAACAGGGACTTATTGGGAACCTACCTACTATGCACCAAATCCTGCTGAGCACCCAGTGGTAAAAACAGTAGATGTGACCCCTGCTCTTGTGAATCCCAGCAAGAGAGACAGATATTAAAGCAAAAAAAATAAAAACAAATTATACACGCTGAATTTCTAGGAGAGGCGTCTCTCTATCTTCGACGTCTGTTAGCATTCCTCTGGGCCAGGACCATCTGACTGAGGGCACAGGGCATGACCGCCCCACGACCTCCCCCCCCAAGTCTGGGGGCTCTAGGTCTCCCCTCCCAGGCGTGTGGCTACACAAATGTAACTTAACTGTCAGTTGCAAGCACATCCCTAAACCTTCAGCCTTGTGGGGTCACCCTTCTGTTTACATCCAAATTAAATAACCTGAAATCCACCCCGTGCTTGGAGCAAACTCACCTCTGCCCTCAGCACTTTCTCCATCAGCCTCCCAGATTTTGGGAGCATAGTTGCACATGAGTGCAGCTTTTTTGCCCTTAATCACGGGGATCTGTTAACATCCGCTCCTCCAACCAAGTTCTCAACCGTTTACTCCCTATCCTGGCAGAGGGTCAGAGGCCACACAGGCACATACATGTCCAAACTGGTTTACACTGGGGTGTTCTTCCTAAGCAAGCTAATCCACTCACATCATATTGTTTCTGATTTCTTAAAGTTTACTAGGAAAGTTGATAGCTCACAGATTCTTTTTTTTTTCGTTGCTCGTTTTTTTTCACTGAGCTAAAACTCACATAACCGTTTTAAGCATTTTAAAGCTATGACTGAGTGTATTTAGTATGCTCACAATATTGTGCTGCCACCACCTTTCTGGTTTCAAAGCATTTTCATCACCCAGAAATAAAACTCTGTGCCTCTCACCCCAAAACAAAACTCTATAGTCTCCATTTTCCTCTCCCACCATCCCCTGGCATCCAGCAATCTACTTTCTTCCTCTGTGGATTTTCTTACTCTGGAAATTTCATGTAAATGGAATTGTACAATATGTAGTCTTTTGCATCAGGCTTCTTAGCATAATGTTTTCAAGGTTCACCATGATGTAACATGTATCATCCCTTCTGTCTTGCCAGTGGGTTTCAGCCCTGGGTGAGTTCACTGTGGATTGGGTGAGACCAAGAAATGACAATGGGACATTCTTGGGGTAAAAGGGTTTATTACCCGCCTTTATTCTCCCAGCGGTGTAGGTCAAGCAGTAGGCTCACGTCTGCACCCAGCAGTCTGCAGGTCTGCAATCCATCTCTGTCTCTGCCTCGGCCCAAGGCACTGGGCAGAGATCTTTATGTAGTGACCCAGTCAATAGCTCATTGCCTACGGGTGTGGAAGCAGTAGCCTAGCAGTAGGCCAATTACATCATCACGTAGCTTAGGGCCAGATGAGACTCCTGACCCTACGAACTTCCATTTTCCCCACACCTTCTTACGGCTAAATAACATTCCATTGTATGGATGGACCTCATCCATTTGAATTTGTTTTACTGCTCATCAGTTGATGGACTTTGGGTTGTTTCTACCTTCAATTAGTAGGAATAATGCTGCTATGAACACTTGCGCACAAGTGTTTGTTTGGACCCATATACCTGGGAACCTAGGAGTGGAATTGCCGGGCAGAAACCAAGTTTGACTTTTTGAGGAACTGCCGGACTGTTTTCTAAGGTCACTGATTTTTAAACATAGTTGCAAATTGAAATCAGCTGAGCATCTTTTAAAGCACTGCTTCCTAGGTCCCACCCTAAAGGGTCTGACATAATGACTCTGCTTTGTGAGTTTCTAAGCTCCCCGGGGCTTTCCTCCAGGCTGAGAACTTCTGGTGTAGACAAAGGAGACTCAGAGATGATGTCCTTAATCAGTAACTCCTGAACCTGCCCTCTGGAAGTCAGGGTATTTCAGACCTGCTTGATTGCGAGAATTACCAGGGACACTATTATTAAAATCAGGTCTATCTTATGATCTGGCAACTTTTGGAAGCAGTATCTTGTTCGATCCTTGCTTCTCAAAACGTGGGCCCTGACCATCAGCATCAGCATTACATGGAGCTGAGGAGAAGGCACATTCTGACTACCACTGAATCAGGGTCTGCATTTTAACTCCGTGATGACTCTAAGAACAGTGATATCTTAGAGGCACGTGTCAGACACTAATCTCAGGCAGTATCGTCTGTAGACACGTGGCTCTCAAACTTGAGCTGCTTCAGGTGGCCTGAAAGGCTCATTAATGCACAGGCTGCCCTTGGTGCCTCTGGTTGGTAGGTCCCGAGGCAGCGCCCGAGAATTCACATGAGTAACAAGCCCCCAGGTGACGCTCGTGTGGTCCGAGCCTGGAGTCCAGGCGCTAGTTTCTCAGGCACGGCCCTGTTGACTTTTGGGGCCAGATAATTCTTTCTT